GGGGCATGATGGAAACCATTCATTACAACAGCTTGGCTTAGGCTCTGCTGAAACAGGAGCTTGAGAGATTTCTCTCACAGGATTAAGACGGGTCTCAGACGAGCGAGGAAATGTAGGTGTAGGAATTACAATTACATATGTAGCGCCAACATATTCAGCAGCTCTGTACGACAGGAAACAAGACACACATTTAATTCTAAGAAAACATGTATGACATACTAATGATAACATATTTTGTACTATGTCTTGTGGTTTTATTGCATATTTTTCTCCCCCACTGTTTTATTATATTGGTTGTACACACTCTTTTATTAATTAGATTGTATCACCATATCCCTTATTTATTAAAATATTTGGTATATTAGGATGTACTTAGATTATATGTATATTCTTGTATATGGTTTCGACTTTGTATCTTTGATTATTTCTGTATCGTTCTAAATATCAACTAAATCATACATTACTACCTTTTATTCCAATTAAGGCATTATCGCCAAGTTTGTTTTATTCTTATATCTTATTTTTTATTATTATTTTTAATATCAATACCATCCCATTATTGATGTTTTTTACACATAAGATTAATTTGCGGACACTATGTTCACTTGTTACAGTATTGGGCTCAGCATATAGGTTTATACGATAAGCCCGTAGATGTTGTTCGTGTATGCTGACAAGAAAGTTGATCTTCTGTTCCAGCATGGTGTGCGCATGGAAAGAACGCAGTCCGGCCTATTTAAACGCCAAACACCGAAGGAAATGGAGAAAGTTTTAATAGACTAAATGTGTTGAGCAAGTAAGAAGTTACCCCGGAAAATTTGCCAGCCTTGTGTCATCTAAAGAACTTCAGCATCCAGAGAACAGCTGACTGTGGCGGAATTCCGTACTTTTGCCGACCACTTGTATGTGGAGAAATCTATCTGGTATCCTGAACTTTCCACTATTGACTGGTATCCCTGGGGATTCAGCCTATTTGAGGCACAAAGTGCATTTGTACATATTGATTCCATTTAATTGTGCCACTGATTTTGTGGGTGTTCCATTTGTTTGTTTTTAATATATTTGTTAATTAAAATATGAACTCTTATTCTTCTCTTTTCCATGTGAGTTATGTACATTTCTAAAGATTTTGGTAACTATACTCACCTTATACCTTGTGAATGTGGCGCCCTGTATTGTATTTTAACTTTGGCTAGATACTACTTTTTGTATTTGTTTCTGGAGGGACCCAGGGAGTGCTCCCATTCTCAGTGGCCTGCCTGCACGTATTAGCACTTTTCCATCTATTACCTGTCACTGTGACATACTAAAGAGGATAACAGATATGTGGGTTTATGTGGGGGCTGAAATCCCTGGTGGCAGACAGACCGGAAGGAGGGGGTGAATGACTGATATGTAAAGCATGACTGTGTAATACTTTCTGATTGAACCTTAGCTTTTTGCGTATACATAGGATAACATAGGGGCTACTTTCTCTTAATACGGGCTTCTCTTTGGCAATCCAAAGTTCTATTTCAGATGCTAATTTACAGACAATCCATCGGTGAAGACAATCTCACAGAAGGGCAAACTGCATGGACAACTTGTAAAGATTGCCTAACGGTTGTGTTTCCACCAGTCTCCCAGGATGCAGAGGAAGAAATACAAATGCATTGTTTCTTTTTATATATCACAACTGTAGATTCCCACAATAATAGACAGGTACTTACAAAGTATATCAGACCCACACGCATGTTCATATCTAAACAAACCAGTACCCAATGTCCATTTAAAGTCTAGGACTATGTATAAAATATCAGTTCTATACACGAAATAGCCACTTATATGGCACAATGGCTTGTTCAAGCAAAGTGCCAACCCAATAGCTAAAACATGTAGTTCCAGTTAAGAGTGTTAACAGCTGATTAACAAAACAAATAAGCACAAGGTATGAGCTAAGTAGCTTTGACTAGAATCTGATCGCTGGTTTTAGACATGGTGTTCCCAGTTTTCAGTAGGAGCTGACTTCCTGGATTATCCACACAGTCTCTAGAGTCAATAGTGAATGGTGTCAGAAAGAAAAAAGATTGGTTGGCTGCAGTTGGCAGTGAACCTTGAATATAGCATGGCTGACCTCAAAGAGGAAGTACTACAGCAGTAGAAAACTATACCAGGCTCCTTGGTAATAGCTTAAATGGGCACATGATCACCAACACTAGACCGATACGATTGGAAACATATCCCTTGGCCTGTGCAGAAAACGCATAACTCTATTGGCCCTTGCATAAGGCTGGTTGTGGAATCTTTACCTATATTCAGATGGCGCAATCAAGCTAAACAATGATACAGTGTCAGCATGCAGCAGAAATTATACAAGGAAGAATTTGAACTGGAAACTTTGCTTCTACCCTGTGTGAGATAGTTGTACCTGATAAAGCACACAGTCAATATACATTCTTGATGATCTGACACAGCCATGCCCCCTGTGTAATGTGCTACAAAATGTGTGCAAGAGGAGAAATTTACAATTGTCAGACCAGGCCAGGTTTTGACCAAGTTTGGTGATCACATACAGTCGGTTGTCAAGTCTTCCCGCTCCTTATTTACAGGTTTGAAGGATATCAACACGATCTGCTGTGAAGACATGCCCTCCAGTACAGGTAGGCCACCTTTGACATTCCAGATGGTGTGGACTATTTCTACCATAATGATCTTACAGACATAATGCTGGCAAAGCATCAGGGAGATGTAGTCCACAACATTTGGAGTGCTGGAGGTGTCTGCCCTACCATTTTCCAAGGTGTGGTTTCTTCTAGTGCATTAGTGGATTAGGCCAATCACTGTCCTCACTGTAGGCCAATCACTGTCCTCTTGTACATTGTAAACCAACATTCCAGAAATTAAAAAGAAAACTGGCCAACTTTGCCTATTGCCAGCTCATTGTTGTCATGAAATGTGTTTGTCAGTTCTGTACGATTGAATGTGTAATAAATAAAAGTGTTTTTGCTGCTGTTGTCACTCAGTGGATGTTTTCAGAAGGTTATCAACAATTACACCATGGTCAATGTCACTTAGATCACACATCACAAATCTCCACATGTCTGCATGCTTTAAATCAAGTTGCTGCCACATGATTCATTACTTGACAACTTGCATTAACAAAATGTATTTAATAAAGGGACTTAACCCCCCTTCTCCCACCTTAGTATCAATTAAACGATGACAACTTCTCTAACTCAGGCTCCAGGATACATTTCATTTATATCTGCAGCCCTTTCAATGATCAATATATACTTATCAAATGCTAGTCATTAAACAGACACAGATTTCAAATATAAAGTGTCAATAAACTGAATAAAATGTGATGTGTTTTATCCCCCATGGTTTCTCCCATAGATAGCATTTCCACACAGTCCATGCCCAGACAGGTACCCACAGAGAGTGCTAAATGCTGGGATTACTGCCCTCTGATATTATCCTTATCAAACTGCTGGTGAAGAACTGAGCATCCATAGCAGTTCTTTATCCCAGCTCTGCTGGCAGCCAGTGGAGAGCATGACAAATTTAAACATCAAACAGGACTAAACTCTTGGGTGACATGATGCAGCAGCCCTCCCTCCGCTGAATGATTAGACAAATACATTCCCCCCAGCAGTTTGTGGACTGCAACCCCTATCATAGGCATCCAGGTGGGGGTTGCAATAAAGCAATCTGAGGATATCCTCCTCCCCAATGTTCTTGTATGCGATCGATACAGGTTTTTTCTTACCTTTGGAGCCTTGGTAGGAGGACATCTGACATTGTTTGATGCTCCGGCTGTCTGATTCATTGTCCAAGTTTTTTCCTTCTCTCTGAGTTCCTATGGATCTTCTCCAGGTGAGACCAGTAACAGCCCAGAGGATCTTCTCCAGGTGAGGTCAGTAACAGTCCAGAGGCTCTTCCTCAGGTGAGGCCAGTAACAGTCCAGAGGATCTTCTCCAGGTGAAGTCAGTAACAGTCCAGAGGCTCTTCCTCAGGTGAGGCCAGTAACAGCCCAGAAGATCTTCTCCAGGAGAGACCAGTAACAGTCCAGAGGATCCTCTCCAGGTGAGGCCAGTAACAGCCCAGTGGATCTTCTCCAGGTGTGGCCAGTAACAGCTCAGAGGATCTTCTCCAGGTGTGGCCAATAACAGCCCAGTGGATCTTCTCCAGGTGAGGCCAGTAACAGCCCAGTGGATCTTCTCCAGGTGTGGCCAGTAACAGCTCAGAGGATCTTCTCCAGGTGAGGCCAGTAACAGCCCAGTGGATCTTCTCCAGGTGAGGCCAGTAACAGCCCAGTGGATCTTCTCCAGGTGAGGCTAGTGACAGTCCTCTGGATTGTCTACACGTGTGACCAGTAAATATGCTCTTCTCCAGGTGTGACCAGTAATAGATAGTCTCTAGGTTAGACCAGTAGCATGTCCATGTGTGACTTATAACATGTGATCAGTGAAAATCCTCTCGATGTTCCCCAGAGTTGACCTGTAAGAGTTCCTACTTATCTCCAAGTGATCTACAAGTGTCCCCCTGGACCCCTCCCAGGGCTCTCTGTACTGTAAAAATCAGAGCAAAGTGTCCCTCTTCTCCTCCTCTGGTATAGAAGTGTCCTCTCATCTAGAAGTGTCCTTTGGTCTAGAAGTATATTTCCAGCTAGATGTTATCTGGGAGCTCGATGTGTCCAATCACACGGCGCCCTCCAGTAGGCTGTGAGTGTACTCAGTGTCATATATAGCAGAGTGCAGGAGCTGTGAGTTTACTCAGTGTCATATAGCACAGTGCAGGAGCTGTGAGTAAACCCAGTCATACAGCAGAGTGCAGGAGCTGTGAGTGTACTCAGACAGCAGAGTGCAGGAGCTGTGAGTGTACTCAAACAGCAGAGTGCAGGAGCTGTGTGTGTGCTCAGTCATACAGTGCAGGAGCTGTGAGTGTGCTCAGTGTCATATAGCAGTGTGCAGGAGCTGTGAGTGTACTCATTCAACAGAGTGCAGGAGCTGTGAGTATACTCAGTCATACAGCAGCGTGCAGGAGCTGTGAGTGTACTCAGGCATACAGCTAGTGCAGGAGCTGTGAGTGTGCTCAGTCATACAGCAGGAGCTGTGAGTGTACTCAAACAGCAGAGTGCAGAAGCTGTGAGTGTACTCAAACAGCAGAGTGCAGGAGCTGTGAGTGTACTCAAACAGCAGAGTGCAGGAGCTGTGAGTGTACTCAAACAGCAGAGTGCAGAAGCTGTGAGTGTACTCAAACAACAGAGTGCAGGAGCTGTGAGTGTACTCAAACAGCAGAGTGCAGGCGCTGTGAGTGTACTCAGACAGCAGAGTGCAGGAGCTGTGAGTGTACTCAGACAGCAGAGTGCAGGAGCTGTGAGTGTACTCAGACAGCAGAGTGCAGGAGCTGTGAAGACGATGCAGATCTCCCGGAGAGCGGATAGTGTGCTCAGTGCGAGCTCCAAGACTGGGGGAGGTCAGGGCTGGCTGGGAGCGATAGGGGCAGTACATAGACCGATGCTGGTATATCAGCGCTGAGCCAACCCACAGGCAGGTAATAGGAGGGGGCTGAGTCACTGCACACTATCGGTTTACATGTCAGACTGTCTCTGGGGCTTCACACCTGGCAGTCTCTCATAGACTGTCTCATTCCTGTCTGTCAGAATGTCTCTGGGGCTTCACACCTGGCTGTCTCTCATAGACTGTCTCATTCCTGTCTGTCAGACTGTCTCTGGGGCTTCATATCTGTCAGTCTCTCATAGACTGTCTCATTCCTGTCTGTCAGGCTGTCTCTGGGGCTTCACGCCTGGCAGTCTCTCATAGACTGTCTCATTCCTATGTGTCAGACTGTCTCTGGGGCTTCACATCTGGCCGTCTCTCATAGACTGTCTCATTCATGTCTGTCAGGCTGTCTCTGGGGCTTCACACCTGGCAGTCTCTCATAGACTGTCTCATTCCTGTGTGTCAGACTGTCTCTGGGGCTTCATATCTGGCAGTCTCTCATAGACTGTCTCATTCCTGTCTGTCAGACTGTCTCTGGGGCTTCACACCTGGCTGTCTCTCATAGACTGTCTCATTCCTGTGTGTCAGAATGTCACTGGGGCTTCATATCTGGCAGTCTCTCATAGACTGTCTCATTCCTGTCTATCAGACTGTCTCTGGGGCTTCACACCTGGCAGTCTTTCATAAACTGTCTCATTCCTGTCTGTCAGACTGTCTCCGGGGCTTCACACCTGGCAGTCTCTCATAGACTGTCTCATTCCTGTCTGTCAGACTGTCTCTGAAGCTTTACACCTGGCTGTCTCTCATAGACTGTCTCATTCCTGTGTGCCAGACTGTCTCATTCCTGTGTGTCAGACAGTATCTGGGGCTAACTGCTTCAAACTGATAGTCTCTCGTAGATTGTCTTATTCCTGTGTGTCAGACTGTCTCATTCCTGTGTGTCAGACAGTCTCCGGGGCTAACTGCTTTACTCCTGGTAGTCTCTCATAGACTGTCTCATTCCTGTGTGTCAGACTGTCTCATTTTTGAGTGGGCTCACTGCTTCCACACCTGTTAGTGTCCCATAGACGGTCTCACTCCCCTGTGATAGATAGTCTCTTATATTCACTAAAGTCTGCCTCCTGCACTCCTGTTAGTCTCTCCTAGACTGTCTCATTCCCATATGCCAGACTGTCTCTTGTACTCAGTACAGCCTGCTTCCTGTCACAATGTCTGTGTATAAATATTGAGGTCTACATCTGCAGTCCACCTATAGCTCAATAGGTAGCAGTCACTAAAACCTGTTTCTTACATTCAAAGCTGTCTCTTTTGTTTAGAAGTCATGCTAGCCATTGCACTCCCTGCAGCCTGTCTCTTGCCTCCTGTGAAGATGTCTGTGGCACTCACTGCAGTCTATATCTCTGTTCACCTGTCAGACTAGACCTTGTGTATAGAGTAGACTGTCCCTTGTCCATATGTAAGACTGTCTCCTTTCAGATGTTAAACAGTATAGAGATTCCATGATGTCAGAATTGATACTTTGTACGTTTTACTGTGACTTGTGTTTCTTCACTTTACTCGTTGGTTATTGTTCTTTTTCTTTGTCTGTCTCTTATTTCCTTCAGGTTTACTCGTGTTCACTTACCAGGGTATCACTTACTCACACTAACACACACAACCTAACCTCCACCTTAGTGTATGTCTGCTGTATCTTGTTTCTTCAATGTGTCACCTCTGTCACTATGTTACTCTCTGTCACTATGTTACTCTCTGTCACTCTGTTACTCTCTATCACTATGTCACTATGTTACTCTCTGTCACTCTGTCACTATGTCACTCTTTCACTCTCTGTCACTATGTTACTCTCTGTCACTCTGTCACTCTGTCACTCTCTGTCACTCTGTCACTATGTTACTCTCTGTCACTATGTCACTCTCTGTCACTCTTTGTCCCTATGTCACTCTCTGTCCCTATGTCATTCTATGTCACTATGTCACTCTCTGTAACTTTGTCACTATGTCACTCTCTGTCCCTATGTCATTCTATGTCACTATGTCACTCTCTTTCAATCTGTCACTCTGTCACTATGTTGCTCTGTCACTCTCTGTCACTCTCTGTCACTCTCTGTCACTATAACACTCTCTGTTACTCTCTCCTAATTCCACACTTCATCTCCTGTTACTGTAGGACCTTGTCCCTCACACACAATAAGCCTGGCCAGACCCTCACACTCTCCCAGTCTGACTCCATCTCCCTCACACTCCCCAAAATCTGGCTCCCTCTCCTTCACACTCCCCTCAGTCTCACTACCCCTCCTTCACACACCCCTCAGTGAAGTTAACTCCCCCTCACACTACCCTGTTGGTTGCTTTTCCTATTGTCTCCACACTCAGATTACCTCACACTCCCTACTCACTCTGGTTGCATCTCTCCTCAATATAGTTACCTTTCACTCACACTCATTCTTTATCCTGGTATCTCTGCCCTATGCACCCTCTTCACTCTTATATCTAATGCAGCTGTTTGTTTTCAGTTATTTCTGTCACCGAGCAGAAGTCACTCAGCCCTTCAAATCGTGTCCCTTTAGTAAGTCATTGACTGGCCAGTGACCACTAGCCTGAGTTTATTCCAAGGTTCCTCAACCCCATAGTTATATCTGGCCCTCTGAGATTTCCTTTTTTCTTTTTGTCATTAAAAGTTCTCTGAAGACAGATTATGCCCGGCTCTGTCCTGGACTCCGGGATTGGGTTTCCAGCCATTTATTCCTGGTTATAAATAGCCTTACATTATTGATACTGTGTTCTGTTACCGCACTATATTCTGCCTCATATAACTCTGAGACTTTTATTATCAATCTGCTTTGTCATGTGCCTCCTTTTTCCATTTCAGAGATATATACTCACCATTGGAGACAGAGCAAATAACACCAGTTTTGCACAAAATATAAAAATGTACATACAGAATATGAAGCATTCCTCTCCTTCTGTATAAATCTCAACCCTTGAAACCACAGTGTTTCACTTTACCAGCTTAGTCTGTAAATTATGGCTAAAGGATCTATCTATCTATTTATTCATCTGTCTGTCTATTTATCTATCTGTCTGTCTGTCTGTCTATTTATCTATTTATCTGTCTGTCTATTTATCTATCTGTCTGTCTGTCTGTCTATTTATCTGTCTGTCTATTTATCTATCTGTCTGTCTGTCTGTCTATTTATCTGTCTGTCTATTTATCTATCTGTCTGTCTGTCTGTCTATTTATCTATCTGTTTGTCTGTCTATTTATCTAGTTATCTGTCTGTCTATTTATCTATCTGTCTGTCTGTCTGTCTATTTATCTATTTATCTGTCTGTCTATTTATCTATCTGTCTGTCTGTCTGTCTATTTATCTGTCTGTCTATTTATCTATCTGTCTGTCTGTCTGTCTATTTATCTATCTGTCTGTCTGTCTATTTATCTATCTGTCTGTCTGTCTGTCTATTTATCTGTCTGTCTGTCTATTTATCTATCTGTCTGTCTGTCTATTTATCTGTCTGTCTGTCTGTCTATTTATCTGTCTGTCTGTCTGTCTATTTATCTATTTATCTGTCTGTCTATTTATCTATCTGTCTGTCTGTCTATTTATCTAGTTGTCTGTCTATTTATCTATCTGTCTGTCTGTCTATTTATCTGTCTATCTATTTATTCTTCTGTCTGTCTATTTATCTATCTGTCTGTCTGTCTGTCTATTTATCTATCTGTCTGTCTATCTATTTATTCTTCTGTCTGTCTATTTATCTATCTGTCTGTCTGTCTGTCTATTTATCTATTTATCTGTCTGTCTATTTATCTATCTGTCTGTCTGTCTATTTATCTATTTATCTGTCTGTCTATTTATCTATCTGTCTGTCTGTCTATTTATCTAGTTGTCTGTCTATTTATCTATCTGTCTGTCTGTCTATTTATCTGTCTGTCTATTTATCTATCTGTCTGTCTGTCTATTTATCTAGTTATCTGTCTGTCTATTTATCTATCTGTCTGTCTGTCTATTTATCTATCTGTCTGTCTATGTATCTGTCTGTCTGTCTGTCTATCTATATATATCCATTTATTATGTAGTGTAATGGATAATGTGTTATTTACATGGTGGAGGGGGGCGCAAGGGAGGGAGGGTTGAGGGTACAATCGTGCTAGGAGTACAACTTTGAATTCCTAGCACTATAGTTTCCTGTTAATGGTTAGTTATAGCGCAGTATGGTAGAAAAATAAAGGGGTTACTGAATAGTGCAGTATGCTATAGTAACATAGGGTTACGTGTATAGTGCAGTATGTAAAGGTAGTGCAGGAAATAAAGTGTTGTGTAGTATGTTAGGCTGGTGTATGGGTTAATTTATGATGTAGTATGTTAGGGTATTGTAGGGGTTAATGTGTTGTGTAGTATGTTAGGGTATTGTAAGGGTTAATGTGTAGTGTAGTATGTATTGGTTAATGTGTAGTGTAGAATGTTAGGGTAGTGGAAAGATTAATATATAGTGTAGTATGTTAGGGAAGTGAGGGTTTAATGTATGATGTAGTATTTTAGGGTAGTGTAGGGGTTAATGTGTAGTGTAGTATGCTAGGGTAATGTAGGGGTTAATGTGTAGTGAAGTATGTTAGAGTTGTTTAGGGGTTAATGTGTAGTGTAGTATGTTAGGGTTTTGTAGGGGTTAATGTGTTGTGTAGTATGTTAGGCACCCCTAGTAATTATGCAGTTTAGGTGTTTCAGCCTCACCTATTACTAACAGGTCCCAGACGTCTCCATAGATAAACATTGGAAGAACAATGGGTCACGCTTAAAAAGTCTGTTCACAAAATTTCTATCTTACTAGACCTACTAAATTATGCAGCCATCACCTCATACGTCCTAGCATGCTCATTGACAGTTGGAGTTGTGGAATAACTGCATAAGTCTTGGAGATACTTTACTTGTAATCTTTATCGCTATGCCCACAAAATAACATAGCAGTAAAACCTAAAACGGCAACAATTTTGTACAGCTGAATAACCTTTCA